AGTGGCCTGCATAGGGGTCATTTGCCATTAAAATACCATCAGATCTATCTCCACCATGTCCATGTAGTCCCATTCATTGGCTGCTGTTGCATTTTTAACTGCAAACTACTGAAAGGCCTAGCACCTTGCATTAACCAAGCATGCTGACATGGTTAACAAGAGCTCACAATAAAAGGGGTAGTCTACTGTATGCCAAGATCCGCACAATACCTTACCATGTGGTTACCGTATAGTGAAGACAAAGGCTTTATTTGCTACTGTGGGTTTCCACAGTTTGTCTGTTCTGGGTTCCCACTACTATCTCCACATGTCAGACATGCCCTGACTACAAATGTAAAGACTGGCAGCAATGTCTCTATGTTCCTAGGTTTTTGGTTCTAGCTGTGTTGGTCTAAGGACATAGGCAGGCAAGGTTCTTCGAGTTGATGTGGTATCTTTTATTAGACCAACTGAGTTGTTGGAAAAAGAGTCCTTAGCAAGCTTCCAGGCACAATCACCCTTCTTCTGGCATAGGAAGTCTCTGCTGTTCTGAGGCTCCAAGCAATAAGAGAAGCTAAAAGGGCGACAGGATGTCAGTGAACCTGTTTTGTACCTTGAACTAGTAGGACTGTAGAGTCCCCTTGACTCACCTATGGCTTCGCTCACCCCACTTCCCTCCAGCCCTGATTTACCTTTTGTTTTCCTAATTTTGTTAACCTATTTACTTTCTCACTGACATCTTGTCACACTTTTAGCTTCTCTCATTCCTTGGAATCTCAGAACAGCAGAGACTTCCATGCCAGAAGAAGGGTGATTGCACCCAAAAACTTACACAGAACTCCCGCCCCCCCAACTACCTAGTTGGTCTAGTAAAATATATCGCATCTACCCAAAGAAACTTGCCTGTCTCTGCTCTTAAGCATTCATTCTCTGTTTTACATTCATTAACAATAGTATGAAGGAGTAACTTGTATGAGCCAGGGCAGCAGCAGAAAGAACACAAATATAAGCAGCAAGTGGATTTTTCCTGTTTTCCATTAGTGCTTGAATGCTAATGACTTAATCTTGCCAGTTGCTGAGAATCTTCAGGAAGGAAATGAGTTCCCTCTACTCCCATTATTTTAATGCAATTTAAGTGCACTCAGTGCCTCATTGAGGCACTCGACACCTCACAGAAGCAGATGCTAAATGCTTGGTACATTAACTGTCCGACTGTTATACTCAACCCTTTGATTGTTGTGGTTATTAAAAATTCTTCAGTTGCAACAATACTGCCATGTTATTGCCAGAGTATTGATAACTCCTGTCCTGACCCCGTCTAGAATATAAATGACTCATTAATCACAACTCTTATCTCCAAGAAATAACAATACACATACTAAGTCCTTATCTGTTGCTTTTCGTGTAAACATTTAAAATAATGGCTCTGCTTACCAAACTGGTTTCCTGGTCAATCTTCCTTTAGCAGTGCTGTGTTCAATTTAACCCTCAGTTATGCAGCTAAAGCTGCATTGTTAATCTCTTTGTGCCTAAATAGCAGTTTTTCACTTACATAAATTACTTCTCATAGTATTTAAGAAGTCAGAATTACCCGTTTTTTAAGGATAAAAATCAATTAAAAAAAAAATTATTTACATTTCTTTCCTTTAAACAATGCTTGCAATGAGGCTTACTTTGCTAAGAACTTGGCATTGGAAGCAAGGTGCTGCAAAGGAGGACTGGGATTAGTGTTTTAAAAATAAAAGAACCCAGATAGAATTGATACAGAAAAGCATATTCAACACACGAGTTAGAAAAAAGTCCCTGTTCGTGAATGCTGCAGAGAGGAGGGTACTTCTCCCATGTTAATTAATGTCTCAATGCGTCAACAAACATGAGCCCATGGAAATTTACAGGAATTTGGGAACTGCAAAATGTCTGAAACAGCTGAAAGCATTAACTTACTGCGCCACCTAGCCCTCACTGGAGGCTATTTTCTCTTAGACCTTGTGATGCAGTATTAAATCAACATAGTCCAAGAGGGGAAATTAAGCTGATAGATCTATACCAGTAGAATTTATGCAGCATGCTTATTTCAGCACGAGTCTTTTCCAGTTTTTGCCACTTTGGAAGGGATTTGGTATTTTTTTTCCTTACAGAATAAAATTACCGTTACCACAAGTAAGATCTGGTCCACACTAGAAGTCTACAACAAGAGCTTGCTATGTTGTTTGATAGGATTTCTCTCTTAAAAAGAAAAAAAGCACCCAAACAAACAAAATCACACCTTAAGTGAGATAACTTTGCTGCTAAAAGCCCTAGAGAAGATGTACCTTACAGAAGTGGGAGTTCACTTAAGGAAATGGCATATATCGGGGGGACGGGAGGGGGTCTCAGACTGTAGGTTGCAACCTTCCAGGGGGTCAGAAGCAACTTAAAATGGGGCTGCAAACTTCCTAGAGGGTACCATGGTGGTGCAGGGAAGTGGCAGGCAGCAGCAGTGCAGAGCGGTGGATGGTGGCAGCAGCTGCCATGTGTGAGCTCCCTGTCCCCCACCACCGCTGCTGCCATCCAGCACTCAGGGTCACAGTAGCACAAAGTCTGAGAACCCCTGGCATATATGATAACAACACAACTGCTTTGCTAGTCTAAGCTGCATGTCCCTCAGGCATTTGCTGATAGAGTTCTACAAGCAGATAGTATAACAGGAACTAGGCCTGTGCGAAGCTTTGGGTAGTAATTTGATTCGGAGGAGATTTGGCTCAATTCAGATTTGGAGATCTGGCCACTGAATCAAATCAGAGGACCAATTAAAAGGTCCCAATTGATTCAAAGCTCTCCAGATTTTTAAAAAAGATTTGGAGTGCTGTGATGATTTGGGCAGCCCCCAGTGGCTGCAGCAGGGAGCTGCAGCCAGACTCAGAGCTGGTAAGTACTAGGAGTGGGGAAGGAGACCATGGGGGGTGGGGGACCCCTGCCAGCCTCCATCTCCCACCTGCTCCCCCAGCCCCCCCATGGCTGCCCTGCCCTTCCCAGCTCCCGGCGCTTTAAAAAAAATGCCCCACTCACCAGGTGCTGCCAGGCAGGGGGTGATCCCTGCTGCTACCCGCTGCCCCACGCTGCATGGGGGGGGGCTCTGCCATGAGCCCCCCGACCCCCCACAAGTGCCACACCCAGGCCAGCTCTGGCTCTTTAAGAGGAAAAAAAAAACCCACGGAGAAAAGCCCCGGGACTCACCTGCAGCAGCCTTGGGGCTTCGCGGGGCTTGTAGAAGAGCCCCCCGCCTGGTGCGGGGCAGTGGGGATTTCCCTCCACTGGCAGGAACAGTAAATCCAGGGTTTTTCCCCGGTTTTTTGTTTTTCTTAAAGGGCTGGAACCATGGCAGGCAGGGCAGCCATGGTGGGGGAGGGGGGCTGGGGGCTTGTGGCAGAGCCCCCCATGCAGCATGGGGCAGTAGGGATTGCCCCCCGCATCCAGAAGCACCTGGTGAGTCGGGGCTCCCCCCCAGTGCCTGGAGCTGGGGTAGACAGGGCATGGGCTGCTGCTGAATCTCTGAATCAGATTTGGCTGAAATCGATTCGGGACAGCGATTTGAATCAACTAATTAAATCACTGTCCCCCAAATCAGCCGAATCCGAAGCGAATACTAGCTGCTTCGCACAGGCCTAACAGGAACCCTACTGAATTCGGTCAAGGCTTACACATGCTCACACAGGGAGTTATGCTGGTCTAACTATATTGATTAGATGGGTTTATTCATATAATTGGCAAAACTCTCTCAGACAGGCAGACCCTTAGTTTTTGAGGCTACATATTTTTATTTATTTATATAAATCTCAGAAAAGAAGCTTCATTACCAGGTTACTAAGAAACATAATTTTGGTATAGCTTTCCTTGTTTATAAATGGAAAGCGGAGTACATACTTCTATGTTTGTGCTGTAAGATATTAATTTAAAGATAGCAGTTTAGTTGCTTATTGTGCATGTCTCTAAATTTGGTGTTTCATAAAGTGCCATTCTCTATAGTCATATAATTAGGTTAAAAGCTCAGTTTTAAATTTGCAGCATTTATGGTTATGAACAAAATGCTGAAGCATAACCAAAGTCACCTACCAGGCTCAAAATCAAAACAGCAGGGGAAACAACAATCCTAAATTATTGGGGGGGTTTTAGGTTTACAATTTTTAAGCCTCTTCCATGATTTCTGGGGTCCTGACTCATCATTTTTCAAAATCTGGGGTTAGTAAAATTTATTTGCTACCTCATCACAACAATTAATTTTGATTTAAAGACCCCTCTCCCCCAACTTTTGATACTTCCTAAAGATACCTCAAGACATTTTTAATAACTCTTTTAAACCACTGAATTGCTACTACGGATTGGTAAGCTTCTTACCATGGGCAGTTCCCATTTCTGCCTTGGTATCGTGGCTGATAAAACACTTAAGGAAAGATGCTTCCTTTTGTACAGCCAGATTTCTTATTCATACTGTACTCACACGAGCATCCCTATGGTCTTCAGCAGGTCTGAAAGGGTTATAATAGGCAAAAGAAACCAAACTGGTGTAGGGGAAACAGGCAAACGGATCTGAATTTACTAGAACAATATTTCAGTCTCGAGTCAAGAATGGTACCCAGAGTTTGAAAGTCTCATCATGCCTCTGCTGTCAGCAAGTATTTGTGACATCCACAGACGATGTGTATGACACCTCCTTAGAACTGTCCACAGAGCAGGGGTATTTTGATTGCACTTACTATCACTTGCTCTGTGAGTGCAAATGGGAGAGGTTGGTGCTGCAGTTCTAAGAGGTTCAGCCTTGCTGACAGACCATGACACTACTGGAATGCTGTTTTTGAGCTTTTTTTTTAAGCTAAGAGGAAGCTACATATGTGCATAAAACCATTTTACAAGAACAGATTAGATTACAATGCTAAGCACTAAAAAGTTAGAAATCGCTGGGTTTAATATTGCCCATGCAACTTCAATACAGCTCCCTTCTGCATACATATTATAGAACAGTCTTTAATTACATGATCACATACCTTTTTCTGTATGATCCCCAGCTCATTCAGTGTGCATGCAGAGTCTACTCACTTTCAGGATGAATTAGGGTCTTGCAGCAAAGGAGACTGTTCCCCATAGGACATTTACAGCAGAATCGGAAGGTTTGTGGTAAATGAAGGAGACTGCTGCAGGAAGAAAAATGCAGACCTCATTATTAAGGTAGCTGATGCTACTCTGGAGCACTGAATTTTGTCACTTCCCCTTCTGCAGATTTCCTAGACAAATCATTTAATTCAAATGTATCCCAGGCGATTACTAATTCCAAGTTGCTCATTTTCTGTGCCTGAGATCTTGTGGTCTAATGTACAGACTTGCTAAGCATTCACAGCTGAAAATGAAGTCAAGCTGCAGCACTGAACATAGAAGTGTTAACCCTGCTGCTAATTTGCAGTTCAACAGGGGTTTTGACCCCAGGAGATCCTAGCGTTACAAAAAGAGACAGAAAAGAGCAGGGTGGTGCATGTGGCAGCAGCGTGCACCACCCAAAACTGGAGCCTGGCAGGCCAGAGCCATGTTCTGGCTGCCGGCTAGGCTCTGTGCGCCCAGATTGCCACTGCTGGAACCTGAGGAGACCTTTAGGGCCTCAAGTGAGGCTTCTGGGGCCAGCCCAGGTGCTGGCTCCAGCCTCTCCTATCACACCTGGGGCAACTTGCCATGTGCCAGAGCATGTGTACAGGGGTGCACCCTGGCAACAAATAGCAGTGGCACAAATACGTTAAGTCAGTTTTGCACATGCTAGCTCCATCATGGAAGCAACAGAACCATATTAAGATAGCCCAAGAATTATTATCCTGGGCACAGTGCTTTCACAGGGCTAGCTAGCCCAGTACTATGCTTTTCTACTACAGGTCTAGAGCTATGTAGGCATACTCATAAAATGCTATTTCACTCATACTACCAATAGCACATTTATGACAGGGGTTATTTGCAGCAGCAAGAGCTGGCTTCCCATCTCTTAGGATTTAATACAACCAACTGAGCCCTCTTCGCTCAGCCCCAAATTTGGTGGGGAGTGGGAAGTCATATGCAATAGGGGAAGAGTTGCTCATTTGGTAAGTCCTCAAGCTATGCTTATGCTGTTGACTGCTGTGCAGCCTAGTGCTAGCTCAGGTACTGGAAGCAGCTTAGCTGTAGCAGGCTCACATATCTTATTAGCTTGTGTTTCTACACTATGCTGCAGTCTGCAGTGTAGACATAACTTGAGCTTGCATATAAAAACAACAAATATTTTATCCAAGGGGAAAGGAACACAGCATTATATCTAGGAAACATAGCAATCAATCAACCATATGTTTGTGGTAAGCAGAACACTCACAGTATCTTGGGAAGCAGTTCTTTGTCCCAGTTTCCCCACCTGGTAGTATAGGGGGAAGCAGGGAAAACAGCTTCCACAAAGAAACACTTCATTATCATCTCTACTGCATGGACCACTCTGCTGCCACCTTCAATTGCAATGCCATCCCTGTCCTGGTCTTGTCCTAAAGCATAATCCCCTCAGTCTCTGACTTCAACTCTACACATGTTGAGCATAAAAGAAAGCCAACTACTCTTCACTCATTTCTATTGCTGAATGTGTGCTGTCATTTCTATCTCTTCTCATACTGCCAGGTTCATGGCTCCTTCAGTTATAGTGAATAGAGCTGGAAGGTTGCCAGGCAAAGGGATCCTTCATTAGAGCTCATTTACCTCAACTACTGCTCTCTGCAGCTGTAGCAGGGAAGACCCCTGATTTCTAAACAAGCTGCCAGGCACAGAATGTCAACTCTGTCCTCAAGTTACAGGCCTAGCGGTACATCCTCATCATAGAATCCACAACCCTCGGATGTAAGAAATGTAGGAGAGCGCTTTGGCATCACTGCCAAATGCACTCAAACTAAAATGATACCCACTGGGTGGGCAGGTCCGAAACATGCAGAACATTTTCTGTCCCTTGTTTGTTATGTCTTTTCTCTGATCAACCAGTAGATGGTGGCAGGGAACTCTCTAATCCTCAACCCACAGGCTACATGAGGTACAGGAATTGCTGGTTAATCTCCATCCAAAGGGGAATGCAAATAATGACCAATTATCCAGTAGGGACCAATTATCAGGACTTGATAATTGAGGGAAAAGAGGGGAGTCTGACACAGCATCAGAAGAAGAGTGAATTAAACTGCAGTGGCAAATTATTCCACAGACAAATTAACTGTATTCTGAAACTAAGGTTGTCAGGTTGCTCACATTTGGCACCCAAATACTATTTGGATACTGTTGACCTTCATCTCTAAAGTTTGGGCTAGTTCCAAAATTGTCATCTAGTACACCAGGATAGGCTACTACCTTCTTTTTTTTTACTTTAAAGGTCACTAGGTACCTAGACTTTTCTTCCCAGGCATGCTGAGAACAGCTGCCAGACTACTCAGACTGGGGTAATCTCCTGTGTTAGGCTAATTATGTTCTAAGAACTAGGAATCCCTCTGCTAGGAAACCCCTGATTTTGCCTTGTACATCCGCTAATCGTTAACACTGCGTCTGGCTCTGATGTAAGAGGTTTTTGGTGATATATGTTGTAGCTTGCACGTAGTCAGTCAAATAAAAGATAACACCAAAGAAACCCCATTACTTCTTGCGTATTTCCTGACCCACCATGGCTATGCCAACACTCCATCTTGCTCTGAAGCAATACTGCCTCATCTGCACGTACCAACTCCTCTTACAGATACGTTTTGGCTAGAAGTAAGCACTGGAAGAGGAACTTTGTTCACAGAAGAACAGGTTTTGTTTATTTAATTATCTTTTGGCAGCTGTTTCCAGTTTCCCATTTAAAAGGATTTTAGATCTATCTGGAACTTTCTTTAGGCTTTTAAAAGCACTACAACAGCTGGAGTAAGCTGCCTAGAGTTCCCATAGGACTTTTCTGATGAATTCCTAAATGTCTATGTTTTCAAGGCATAGTAAAAGATCTTAAAATACAGGGGAAAATATTTCTGCGTTAGATAATGTATTACAGGAAGTTTTTTCCTTGCCCTGGGTCATTTGTGAAACCTTTACCAGCCTGTTAGTCTTGTGCAGGGTGCCTGAATCAACACTTCAAAGAAGGAATCCACTTTGTCTATTGTCTCGAATATGGAGTTTTCTTCTTTTCCTTTAAAAAAAAAAAAAGCCCTGTGAGAGTAGATAGTATTGTTCCAGTAGTTTCATCTTATCCTCAGTGACTGAAAGCCCAGAAAATGGTCTGTATGCTATTTGTTAGGGGCATATCCACCATATTTTAAAATGTCAGTACCATTTAAAAGCAATTGGGATGCTAAAGTGGATGAAACATTTAATCTATATTCAATAAAAGATGAAAGAACGTGTGTGTAAAATGGAGTGCTTTGAGAGCTATCTCTTATAACAGAGAAGAGCTACATTTAGATGCTCAGATCAGGCCTGAACTATAAATGGATAAGTGGCCAGTGTTTGGTACAGGTGGCACTACAAAAGTGAAAGGGATATTGTTTGCATGGGGATCTATTAAAAATTAAGTTGAAATCTAACTTCAACTGACAAAGAGAAAATGGAAAGTTAAACCTAAAGTTCCAGTCTGCATCTCTTTTTTTTTTGTTCATACATTTACTACTTCTACCATCTTCTTGTACAGTGATGCCTCTTGCTGGGTTCAGAGTTCTCTTTATTAGACACTGTGAAGATACGCAAATTTCCCTGAAGAATTTAAAATAGTCAAACAAGGGAAATAGGATCTATTATTCCTGCTTTATAGGGGGGAGCAGAAGTAAGAGAGGTTGAGGCATAAGCCAGGTTCATGCTTGGAATTAAGACCTGAACCCAGACCTCCAAAAATAAGAAAACAAAATTAATGCTGCATTGTTACACCACAATGTTCATAGAAGTCACAAGACACTGTTTCCTGACTGTTCATTTATTTCAAATTTGCTGTCCTTTAGCAGGCACTGAGAAATTAGTTTTCCTTTGAGCATTTGTATTAGTAAAACTCGTTCATGTGAATACTTGCAGACTGTGGATACAGTCAGGGTGGCTAGGAGCTGGAATCAACTTCCTAGGGAACTGGTGCTCACCCTTACCCTGGGGATCTTTAAAAGGAGGCTAGATAATCACCTAGCCTGGTCGTTTGACCCCAGCATCCTTTCCTGTCCATAACAGGGGGGTTGGACTTGATGAGCTGCTTAGGTTCCTTCTGACCCTACCAACTATGAAACTTTGATACAAAGGAATACAAACATGATTAAGTCAAACTTGCTTAAAATCCTAGCAGTTGCAACATGTTTTCTGTATTTGCCTTACTCTTTTGCAGCAACAGCAACAGTGACCGCACCTGATCAGGGAGAGAGATGTTCTCTCAAAGGGTATGGTGCCAGACAACAAAAAGGCAGAATAACCTAACACTTGACACAGGCCACGGTCTTAGGTGGTTTGGATTCTGCTTTTCTGCTTTTGACTTGCTGTATTAACTGTGGACAAAACACAAGACTAGATTGACAAGAGAACACAGACACCTAAACTGCAAACAGAGGCGACCTGAGCAGGGTGCGGGTCCTGGGGCAAATCAACCCATGCAGGGCCCTGCCCCCACTCTAATCCTGGACCTGAAGAATCTGCCGCTGCCATGGGTGGTGGGGTGCAGTGAGCGGGTGGATGCTGAGCCGCTGCTCCGCCTGGCTCCGCGGGGCCCCCAAAGCGTGGAGCCTGGGACAGTTGCCCTGATTTGCCCCCCACCGTGGACGGCCCTTACTGCCAAATTTAGAACCTAAGAAGTTATACTCATCTGCCACCTAATCTAGGACTAAATCTTGCCAGTGCCAAGCAGCTAAGGTTCCTAAGAAGTCCTCCAGATTCAAGTTAACTCACGGTCCTCCAGCATCCCAGGATACTTTGTACACAGGGCCAGCTTAATGGACATGCCTAGGGCCCTGAGCTGTGGGAGTGTGAATGACCCCATGCTCCTCCCCTCCGTTCCAGGTGGGGCCACTGTTGCTGCCGCCCCAGGGACCTGAGTGCCTTCCCCAGCCTCTGGCTTGCTCTGGACACCAGGTACAGATAGGGCAGGTGTAGGGGGGGTGCTGCAGCTGCATGGGAGTGCAGAGACTGTTCCCAGGGGGGCAGTGGGAGTATGGAGTGCAGATGGGCAGGGTGTGGGTGTGAGGAAGAGTGGAGAGTATGGGGACCCCCTACACACGCCCCTCCCATGGTGCACAGCCCCTGCCGCCAGCAGCAGCAGCTTCGGGGCACTTGTGGCCCATACAGGCCCAGACGTGTGGCTCTGGCCAGTGCTGCACAGGGGAAGCAAGGAGCACAGCCTGTCAGCCAATTTTCTCACACCAGGCTCCACGTGGTGAACATGCAGCTCTGTGCTACCAGGGAAAACCTGGAGCTGCTGCCTTCCCTGCCCCCTGGCCTGCAGGTCACAGGAAGCATGGGGCAGGGAAGGCAGTCAGCTCCAGCCCACGCTGCTTCCCCCCAGCAGGGCAGAGCTGCACATGGGCAGCACAGAGCCTGGTGCGAGAAAGGCAGCCAGCGAGGTTGTGCTCTTTGCCACCATTGTGCAGTGCTGGCTGGAGCTGCATGTTGTGGGGTGCTGGTGCCTGCGTGGGTCCCGAGGGTAGCTGCTGCTGGCGGCGGGGGCTGTGCACCATGGGGGGAGAGTGTGAGGCGTCTCCACACCCACCACCCTCCCTCACACCCCACACACCCACACCCTGCCCCCACAACCCCCCTCCCACATATACACCCCAATATACCCTATTGCCAACCCCCAAACACAGACCCACTCCCCACCCTCCCCTCTCTTTGAAATGTGTTTGGCTTGTTTTTAAGGGCAGTGCTGCTTTTTTTTTCTCATGAGACTTGGCAACACTGCTCCAATTCCAGTTCCCATGGGCAGCAGCACTGAGGTGGGGAAGGGGGTCTCAATGGCCCAGGGCCCACAAGTTTGTTTGTCTGGGGCCCACTAAAGGGTTAATTCAGCTCTGTTTGTACCTCACCACCCCCCCACCCCCCCTCACAGGGTGGCCTTGGCCCAAGCTGTCTGCTCCAGCTGAGCAGGGAGGGGTACCTTCTGGCTTGGGCCACTACAGGCATGTGGCTACATTTCCAGAATGAAAGGTGAATGTCTGTTCACTTCCTATTGGTTCAGTCAACTCAGCTTAGACCAACCTGTGAAAATTGAATTGATTCAGCCTCAGGCTTTTTGACTTGTCTGTACTTAGCCATAAAGATTCACAAGGATGCATTATTCTATCTCATCCATATGTCATGAATGCACGTACTGATCAGGCTACAGGAGAAGCATGAAGTAGTGATCTTTTACCCAACAGACCATGTTCAAACCCCTCTTCTGCTTGAGGGGATTTGATTCCACATCACCTACCATAATCACCAATATACAGAGCATACTAGGGTTGGGTTCTCTGAGTCTCCCTCCCTCCCACTGAACCTGTTTCATTTTGCAATGAGTAATTAAATATCTTGTGGGCCAAATATTGAGCAGAACTCTATCACCCAATGGTTAGGTCATGTCAGAGCTGATTTGAATCAGTGCCTCGACACAGTGGAACTTTCTAGCACAAGGCACGGTAAGGCAGGGGAAGTCTCGGCATGGTGAAGAGTTCCGGCGTGGATAGAGTTCCCACCGATGAAATGCAGATTTGCATGATATG